TTGTGCTGGTGGTGTTCAATATACAAAGTTATTTTCTTAACCAAAGAAAACCATAAATCTCTCTCAGACTCTGAAGCGATCAGCCCAGTTCCTCTCTTCTGGCTGATAAACCACATTCTTTTCAAGAAGGCTGGGAGGCAGGAGAAGCCTCATGGCCATCAGCTGGCTGTGCCATGCTGGTAACGGCGTGAGTCACAGCACTGCAGATCAAAGTCCCCATGATACAGCAAGAAATTTTTGCAAAATACGCGTGTCGTCAGCACACCGGAGTGTAACGAGGTGCACTAACGAAGTATCTGCCTCACAGGGCGATGGCTGCGATGGGGAAGAGGAAAGCTAACAGAACGGCCCAAAGCCTGGGTCTGCAACATGGAGTAACAGCAGGCTGGGGCAGGGAAGGAGGCGTTTGGGAACCGGTGTGCAGCCGCATCTCCGGAGAAACCGTGGCAGCTTTGATGTACACCTCTGAAAGCTGCAGAAAACGCTCAGAATGACTTCTACTAAACGTGTCAGCCCTCTGCCCAGGGACGTAGCGGCAGACTGCCGGGAAGGCCTTTCGTAGCAGCCATTTCCGCCGCTCAGCGCCCCGCCCCGCCCCGCCCCCGCACCATCGAGCCGAGTCCTCCGAGCGCCCCGAGCAGCGATCCGCGGGAGGCCCCGCAGCCATGCCCGTGAGTTGCGTGGGGCTGGGGGGGGGGGGGGGGAGGCGCGGAGGGGTCGGGGGGCGCTTGTGTAACTGACGGTTCCGTCCTACCCAGCTGGCAAGGGACCTGCTGCACCCCTCCCTGGAGGAGGAGAGGAGGAAGCACAAGAAGAAGCGTTTGGTGCAGAGCCCCAACTCCTACTTCATGGACGTCAAGTGCCCAGGTAACGGCCCGCGGGTCGCTCGCCGGGCGCGGGACGAGCTGCCTCGCGTGCTGCTGGGGCGGGGCGCCGGCCGTGCGGACACCGCAGCGACGGACGGACGCGGTCCTGCGCCGCCCGTGCGGGTCGGGCTGCTGTCCCAGGTGCTGCCCATGCCTGCTTGTCACACACCTCGCTTTTGGCTCACGAGCATCACCTAACTGCCTTCACCCCTATCGGCTCCAGCAGCGCGTGTTCTGGCAGGAGGATGCCACAGAAATCAGCAAACGCTGCCACGTGTCTCCCAGACACTACTGCAGCATAAGGAAGCTGTAACACTGAGAAAACAGTAGAAAATGTGTCGACTCACAGTAGCAATATCCTGACCAGAAGTAAGGAATTGGTGCTGCACTCAGTTTTCTTGTTATCTTGATAGTTTAAATCTCTAAGAAGCTCTCAGACACCATTTTCCATCTAAAAAGTGAGGTAAAATCATTAAAACTATTGGAAAATGCAGTGTTGGCTTCAAAAAACAAAACAAAAAAAACACTAAACCACACAAATGGAAGTTCTCTCGGGAGAGGGAGGTGGTTGCCCCCCTCAGCTCTTGTGAGGCCCTGTCTGCAATGCTGCACCCAGGCTTCCAGCACAAGAAAAATGTGGAACTCTTGGAACAAGTCCAGAGGAGGGCCACTCAGATGATCAGAGGCCTGGAGCATCTCCCCTATGAGGAGAGGTTGAGGGAACTGGGCTTGTTTAGTCTGGGGAAGGCTCCAGGGAGACCTCATGGTGGCCTTCTGATACTTGAAGGGAGTGTATAAACAGGAGGAGGAAAGACTGTTTACAAGGGTGGATAGTGATAGGACAAGGGGAAATGGTTTTAAATTGAGACAGGGGAGGTTTAGGTTGGATATAAGGAGGAATTTTTTCACACAGAGGGTGGTGAGGCACTGGAACAGGTTGCCCAAGGAGGCTGTGGATGCCCCATCCCTGCAGGCATTCAAGGCCAGGCTGGATGTGGCTCTGGGCAGCCTGGGCTGCTGGTTGGCGACCTGCACACAGCAGGGGGTTGGAACTGGATGAGCATTGTGGTCCTTTTCAACCCGGGCCATTCTATGATTCTGTGATTGTGAGGGAGCTTCCTGAGCACCTTTCTCAAAATTCATTCTATTTTATCCTCTCCAGGCCACATGCTCTGAAAATGGTGGCTGTGCTCATCATTCTGTTTGTCTGTATTCTGTATCCACCTCAAGATTAAATATGTTCCAAATTATCCCTCTCGTTCCTCCTAAACAGTTAAAAGTACTTTACAAGGAGAGTACCATAGGGTGCGAAAATCCTCTTGTCTAAGACTTGTATGAAGTTGATTTTATATTTTCTGCAAGCTGTAGAATTTAGAAGTTTCAAAGTGTTCCTGATGCTTCTTCCTGAATCTGGACTGCAGTGAAGCTGTTCTGTGCCAGCCTCGTGGTGTCAGTGTGGTGCTAGCACTGGACAGTACAGCTATGCCGTATGTGTACTAATGATTAACAGAAAGCAAACAGCCTTGAACAGCAGTGCTTATGTTCACAGCTGCCAGGCTTCATCATCAGCAATGTTCTCCCCCAACAAATAACCAGTTCTCTATCTAAGGCTGGTCTAGAACAAAGGTAAAGTGCCCAGCTCCTGCTTCTTGCAGGATCCATACTGCAGGTACATGAGGGCTTGTCAGCCAACAGAATCTGTTAATGATTTTCATGGGAGAGGCATACTAGTTTCAGTTAGCTAATGTGCTTGCTGTGCATGCTAGTAAAAGCATGTGAGGACTTCATGCTCAGTTTTATTTGGTACACTTTGTAATGTAATACTCATCTAGTCTTGAACAAGTGTACTCAGGGTATCTGGTTCAATTACACATACAATTAAAAACACACTAGAAATACTCAGTAGAAAACTTAACATTGCTGTTTTGCAGGATGCTACAAGATCACCACTGTGTTCAGCCATGCTCAGACAGTGGTTCTGTGTGTAGGCTGCTCAACTATTCTGTGTCAGCCTACTGGGGGAAAAGCAAGGCTCACAGAAGGTAAGGAGAAACGTTTAAGCAATCTGACTATCACACTTAAAACTGCACATCTGTGGACTTACAGCCTGCAGCTCTCTTAGCTCTGATTTTTGAAAACTACTACTGGGAAGCTTATTCTTCATATTGCTGAGCGTTAGCTGATTAAAAAAAAAAAACAACAAAAACTTGCAAGCTGGGGCCTATTTACAATGTTTTATGCAATGTTTTGTTTGTTTTATAATGGCTAAGTAGATAGGCCAGGGAGTTCAGAGCTAGATTTTGATCAGAAACAATTTTAGATTCAGTGACTTGTAACTTCCTTTAGCCTAACTGATATGGGATATTCAATTCTGAACTAACTTTAGAGGGTTTGGCAAGCCTAGAGTAATGCCACGCCACTGCTAGTCAGTGCTGGCTTGGTTGTTTATTTTTAAACAGTGCTGTAAGGCAATTCCTGATTCACATTACGTAGTCAAAATGCTTGTATAAAGTGTAAAAGAACAAATAACCTGCTAATACACACATGTATATATAGGTAACTGCTATAGCACGGTATCTTGCAATGTAATCCAGTGTCCAAGATCTATGAAAAACACTGGAAACAGATGAAGGTTTAAAGTACTTTAAAAAATGAATCCAGATTTCATTCACCTTACAATTAAAGGATGAAATGTAATTATATATGCAAATTGTACATAGTAGTACTTGTACCACATACTGCTATATAGTTGATAGGAAGACAGAATACCTGAAATAAGGCTGTTGAGCAGTTGGAAATGTGTAAGAACTCCTAGCAGCTGTTTCACTTTAGGGTTTGTACCACTAGAGAATAGAACAACACGCTGAAATTTTAAAGGCATCTGGAAAACCAAATACAAAAAAAACCAACAGTACACCCGAGGCTTACAGTGAGATGAATTCTGACAGGGTTAGAGTAGACTCAAAGTTAGTTAGCTCTTGTGGTACAAAAAGCTCAATATATTTACTATGCAAGCTTCCAACTTGAGTTGGATGAGCAGTTTTTCAAGATAATCTAGCAATGTAATGCTGCTTGTATTTGTGATTTCTTTACAGGCTGTTCATTTAGAAGAAAGCAACACTGAACAGTCTCTTCAGCATACAGCAGTGGATCTGTGTTCCTGAAAGCCTTACCTGTTAAAAAAAATGCTTGATGTAACAATGTAATTATGACTGACTTTGTGAAAATGACACACTACTGGTGACTGATCAGCTGGAATCTCTTTCAATAAATGATTTGAAGTGCATTTTTTTTTCCTGCAAGTCGCAGACAGTTGAGCTCTATTTTTACAGCTTTAAACAGTGTTTTGTAATTGGGTGGTGTCATTTAATATAAAAATCTGAACCTTGGACTCGCTGCATCCTTCTTTCTGTTAATCATCAGCAGGGTAAACCATATGGTGACAGTCAGCACTAAGAATATATTTTTTATAACTGAATGCTGTGGCTGCTTCAATGGCCAGGGTTACAAAAGGTAGATAGGTTTAAAAAGGACATGCAGCTCAGCGGTTTCAACATGGCTTTGGTCCCCTTACTCTGTGGTAACAGTTATTTCTCAGATGCAGAATTACTCACATGTGTTCAGATGTTTTTCTGGAATGCCTGGTTTTCCCTCTCTCTAATCTGGTCTACAACCTGCACTCCACATTCTATACTGAGATTCCTATGCAAAAAAAAAAAAAAAAAAAAAGTATTTAAATCATTTTGCAAAATACTGAAAGCACTGAGCATAGTGTAAGTATGTGGCATACAAGCCACAGTGCATATTTTCAGTATTAAGTATTGAAATTTAATCATTACCCTTTTGCAATGAGGAAATCGGTTTTTAATTAGCTGTTAAAAGCCATCCCCTCCTAAAGGGTTGCTAAAAAACTGAGATTTATTTTTAATACCATGGTACACCCTTCAAACATGCCATCTTACACCTTGTTGTAATACGACTTAAAATTTTAAGTTACATGTCAGCATCATCTGTTTTAAAATATCACCTGTCTTGGTGAGCTCGTTATCGTTAGGAATTTGTTTCATTTTCATGATTAAAAAAAACTCTATATGTTTCTAGTTAATTAGGAAAAAAACTGATATAGTAATTCAGTGCATTTGCAAGCTGTTTTATTTCACTTAATAGAGAACATTGATAATTACCAGATGTAAGAAGCAGGTGTTTGATACAGACAGGTGCACCAATTTAGCATGCATACCTTCAAGAACAGAACAGGTTCATGTTTGTGCCATACTGTTTGCACAGGACAAGTTAAGAACGTGTCAGTCACCTAAGTTGCAATTAGTTGACCAGTTTTCTATACTTAATGCCAATGCATCAAGTAAGTGGCTTCATGCTACAGATGACAGCAATACTGTGACTTGGCCATTTGTGCTGAGTCAGACTGATGCTTAGTCTCCCCCATTTCTAATCTCCTCCTACCTCTACCCAACACAGAAAAAGGTAAGATTTGTGATTAAATGTTGTATCAGAGAAACTCAGTGACACGTTTTGCTACATGTGATGGAAGACTTCCTAAAATTTTCACATTTTACATAGCTGTACACATTACAGTAGACCTTTGAAGTCTTAAGTTATAGGATGTAAAAACTATGTCGTCTTTGCATACAAAAGGCTGGTGGCTAATCAATCCACGAGGGGAGTGGGATACCGTCATGAATATCTTAGTGTTAAAAGTATCTTAAGACACTTCATTATTCACTTTCTTACATACTTCAAACACCTGTACGTCCAAAGGAATTCATTCCAGTGTGTTAGTGGTAACCAGTGGTAGAACCCAACAAAATGGCAAGTAGCTGCAACAAGGGAGGGTCAGGTTGAAGGTTCTTCACCTAGAGGACAGTCAGGCACTGAACAGGCTGCCAAGGGCAGTGGTCATGGCATCCACCTTGCCAGAGTTCAGGAAGTGACTGGATAACACTCTTATGGACTCTTATGGACTGATTTTTGGGTGGTCCTGTGTGGAGCCAGGAGTTGGACTCAGTGATCCTTACGGTCCCTTCCAACTCAGGATATTCTATGATTACTGTTTGGTCACATGTACACAAGCACAACACAAGACCTACCCCTTCTGCATGCTCACTTTGTATCTAAACTCTCTCGCAATGGTCAGCTAGTTAAACTTGTCTCTGAAATACACAAAATGGTTTTCAAGAATGTTAAATGCCATTCACAAAATAAATGCATCATAATCCTGAAGTAGCAGTGTTACTTTTTAGGGTTTCCATATGTAAAACGTTTTGTCAACTTCTGTTCACATATTCTCCAACATGAAAGCAATGCAGAACTACTTACCTACTCTTGCTCCCTATGGAAAATTGCCAATGACTTCTGCTGCTGCACACTTAGCCAGCTAGCAGGTGCTCAAGACTGCAAAAAGCAATGTTGGCATTGTAGATGTTCATCTCCAGTATCTCTGTCCTGAATTGTCAAACAACATTAAAGATCCCAGTGAGTGCAGGTGAATGTACTGCCTCACCAATGAGCTTGTTCCATTACTCATGAATATGGAAGTAAATTTTTCGTGGGCCAGAAAAGCTAAGCAAACAGTTTGTAAGCTTTTACTGTTTTCATACAGTAACATTTCATTGTGCTGTTTTAGCACAGGAACAATTGCTCATAATTATGAAGAGTCCCAAAGCAGCCCCCTACTGCCAGTGCAGGTAAAGCACTGACACCTCAAAGTAATAAATTTCTTCATTTGTCAGTCTTAGACAAAAAATATTCACAGGCATAATGGTAACACAGCTGTCAACATGGCACTGCATCACGTGGCAGATAGCAGTATGAAGTTAATACTAAAAACTCCTTCCATCTTGGGAAAGATGAAGGTAAGGCTACTTTCTTTCAACTGTTACTCAAAACATTTTGCTCCTTAAATTCAGAGGCAGAACTGCTAAACAGTGCAGGGACTCAAGCATTAGAACTCCTGTGGGATGGTTTGTTTCATCTCAACCTGGAAATACTGTCTGATGTAACCACAGGGAAGTGGAGTCTTGGAGATTGCAGAGCATGATGGAATACATCAAATAAACATAATCAGCTGGTACTGTACTTCTGTTGAAAGCATGAAGATTAGATACTGCTTATTTGGAAGTCTGACAGAATTTCTTGTTCAGTCTTGTGCAAAAGTAATGCCTTGAGGTAGATGTCCAGAATAGAAAAAAGGATGGTTTGGGGAAGACAAACAAAAAAATCCTCAAAGTGCATCAGATTTCTACTACTGGCTTTGAGAATGGGCTTGAAATTTTACTGAGTTATTTTAGTTCCTAATTCATGAACAAAAGAAAAATCTACATTCCAGAATACAGTGCCATTTCCAGCTGTTGGCTACAACTGCTGCTACCAGCTACGTGTATCATCCAGCAGTAAGGCTGCCTGACAGCTCACCGTGCTGTGCTACTCAGGTACATGTGAAATAACACCTTTATTTCCACACTACAGTAATGCCACATTTTATGTCTAACAAAGAATAGCGTTGAATATCTAAATAAAATTATTTTACACACATGACTCTATGGCCTTTCTTTTCCAATTCTTGGCAATACACAACTCTTACAAAAATGCACTTGATGGAAATCTTCCCAGAGGTAGCTTTGTTTTTTGCTTTTTAATGAAATTAAAAAACAAGTTGTATGTAAAAACACACGTTTTGTCAACAGTAAAGTCATTCTGATTTTACTGTTTTCAAAGATCGGAACTGAGAATAAAGAATCAGGTCTTTTAAAAGCTTAGCACTGAAGGCAGATAATCTGCTGTTGTACTCAGTAGGAGAAAGCAACGCTCTGTTTGTTCGGCCGCTGTTGTTTTGTTTTTATTTTTTGAATGTTGGTCAAATACTGGATGAGGAAAAAAGCCTCACTGCTGAAATGATAACTTACACAGTTAACACGGGGAGTCAAATTTGCTTGTTACATTCTTCTTTCCTGTAAGGAGCTTCCCTGAGAGATGAATTCCAGTATACTTAAATGTGGCACCACTAGCAGAATTTCAGTGAAGTGTTGATGCTTTTTCCTCACCTGTCCTTTGGGACCTCAGGGCCCAATTTGATCTCCGTTTCCATTTGTTTTTCATGTTCACTTACTCAACTTATTTCAACTTCACTTATTCATCTCTCTTTTTTTAATCTATATTTTGTGCCCGTTTTTCTTTATCAAATTCCCTTGCAATCTTTAAGGCAGTGCTGTTGAGGGAAACAGATTGCATATTACAGATAATGCTAACAATTACTCCCCTAGGTGGTGCCACTTCTGCAGTATCTTCAGCATGAGAGTCCAACTCCTCAGGAAGAATCAGGAGAACGCTGCTTGCACCCACTGCACCACCCGTATGAGATGCGTAGTGTCTCTGCCGCCTGCAAAAGCCACACTGTTGTTTTTTCTCTACTACAGCCCAAGCCATTGCATATTTACCATCCCTGTCCCACGATACTTCAGTTTTTGGCACTGGCGTCCACATCATTGCAACGGTGTCTGGTTTCAGGTACCCAGGCAGAAGCTTGCCATTGTTGTTTCTAAATTGTCCAGCTTGGTAACTGTACAACAAGGCATTTCCAAATTTCAGAAGGTCTCCTACTGATGACAGGAAGCCTCCACCAGCCCACTTGTAAGAGTTGTCCACATACGGTGCGTTTACCAGACGTCCCTTTTTGTTGTAAACGTAACACCTAGAATTCAAGAACATTCAACTTGTCATCTCAGATATTCTGAGCAACTACCTTAACGGGGCAATCTGAGCATGTGTGAAATTGTTCTCATGAAAACGTTGTCTTGTTCAAAATATTTTTCCCTTAAATGTTTTTTTGTTTGTTTGTTTGTTTTTGAGAAAAATCAACACAAAAATTCATCCAGCACAGGACTTCTCTCAAATCCCTGTACTACATTTCAAAAGTGTTTCAAGAAAGAGGAATCCTGCTGCTACCCTGCTGTTATCTGAGACCCAGCTGAAATTTCACCAAAGCCTTACAGACTATTCTGAGCCAGTAGTTTCCATCTGTGATTAACTTCTCCCACTGCTCCATTACGGTTACTACATACAACTCAATATTCTGAAACTAACAAAGCAAGCAGGAAAGAGAGTCTTGCAAAACCTGTCATTAAAATACAAAATTAAAACTACCAAGTGGAATTGCAGAATAAAGAGCACAACAGCAGCACAGACAGAGTTACACTTTTGCAACGGTACACTCCTGAATGGGTGCATTTCATACAGCAGATGAAAAGCACTGTTGCATACCTATACATTCTGATGAATTTCAAGCATAGTAAATCCACAGACTGCTTAAAGACCTGTGGAAATGAATCACATAAAAAAGAAGGGAAGGGGAGGGGAGAGGGAGAGGGAAAAGGAGAGAAAAAGCAGCAAGCCTACTGTAGGCAGTACATGCTTTTATCCTCTATCTGGTCAACATGTACACTGGAAAACATTCAGGGAACTTCTGAAAAAGCTTGTACTGAAAATTGAGGCTGAAGCAAAGAAAGATAAATGGTCCAAGACTACTATCAGCTTTGCTGGTAACTTGCATATCTCAGTGTCCCTACACTCATTTTTTGTCACAATATAACTCGTTACAAAGATGCTGAATACTTTACTCGCAGCTCTAAAAAAAATTTTGGAAATTTAAGGTTTTAAGCCTTTTTTTTTTTCTTAGTGAAATACAGCAAAAGCAAACCATTAAAAAAACCACGACTTCTCAGTATTTTTCAGTCTGAGACATCAAGCTGGCTGCATGAGGAGGCAAAAACCATCACATGATGATCCTAGTGTTCCTTAAATAAGCCATAAAAAGACCATGAAACAGCACCTGTCCTAACTCTTTTATCCCCGCCATATTTCAGTTTATAGACTTGTTTATACACTTACATCTCAAAAGGAACTTGACTACAGCAGCCTGATAATTTACAAGACCACTAGAATCCAGATCTACAAATAGCTGGGAACCTCTGAATATTTGCAAGTGAAATAACTACACAAAACATCTTAGAATGCAGCAGTAAAGCTACCCTTGAAAGATCTCCAATGCTACTGTTGTTAGCAACAACACTATGTAACAACAACATGTTTAATACACACTCACACAAGTACTACAAAACCTGGATCCAGCACATTCATGGCCATTTCCACTCTTTTACAGCACTTTGAAACCCACGCTTTTAAGTAAGTTAAAACCCACTGTTCTGAGGCTTGCCATCATCTGCTGTTGTGATTCAGTTGAATTTTTCTCCTGCACAGCAACTTAAAATGTGAATCAACAAATCAACCTTAGAGCTCATCCAAGTGACCCAGTAAAATAAGGGCAGAGATAAGAAACTCAGTCCTTATTGCTCTGTTTTTCCCGATTTACATGTACCTGCTTAGCTGTAACCAACCTAAATGCAAACTCCTCAGTCACCCCCACAACGTCCACCCCCACGAGCACTATTATAATTGCTAATCTTATTTCTAGCTCTGTAATTTCACATTTATAGAACAAATAGTGTAGTGTTGACACAAATTCGTAAGATAACATGGCCCACTTCATTTAAAAGCATGACCAAAAAAGAAAAGTGCGCACTCTAAATTCAGTTGGCTCAAAGACAAAAAGAGCAGCAAACACCACAGAAGCAGCAGAGTAAAAATCTCATTCTTTCTTACCTTGCTCTGTTATATATCATTGCTTCGTTGTCATCCAGCACAGTTGACAGCATATCCAAGTCACGGAACATTTTTAGCATGTACTCTGTAAATTTCTGCCCCGAAACTCTCTCCACAACAGCACTTAGGAGAGTAAAGCCATATGTTGAATACAAGAACTGGCTACCTTAAAGAAACAAAGAGCGCAGGGGGTTGAAGTCAGCTGCTTGACGCTTAAATGGGAAGCTTATGGGACAGCATTTAAGTAATCACATGTGGAAACCAAAATGCATGCAGCAATGCAATGTTCTCACTCCAATTTAAATACCACATCACAGGATTATGGCAATGGGTCCCAGGAATTGATGTGAGGCAGCAGACAAGCACTTGCAGGTAGCTCTAAGAATGGCTGTAACACATTTCTGGGACTCTGTGTAACCTGATTGGTTTGAGCATTACAAATACTGGCACTTGAAGACAACTGTATGATTGGACAGTTTGTGCAGGTCAGCCCAAATATTTCTCCATCAAGCTTTCAGTGGAGTACAGGAAGAAAGTAACACAACAGAACAAAAACAGAATGCACAAATATTATTTATGGGATGCTAATGCTAATGCTGTGCTGAATACAAAGCAATTTGAAACAACAACAAAAATCACCAGAAAAGTCTGCCTTGGTCAAAAGTAGCAGTAACTCACCTGGCTTGAAGAATAAAGGATCGTTTTTGAATATCTTCAGCGATTCAATCACGCTCTCAAATTTTTCCTTCAAATAATACTCCTCATGTTCAAACTCCTTGTCTCTCCTGCCAGGTTTTGAATTTCGGCTTTTTACTTCACCTTCGTGTTCCTTCTTTGGCTTGTCAGAGTCAGTCTTTTCAATGCCTTTGCCATCTTTCTCTTTCTGTTCTTTATCTTGGCCGGATTTTGTCAGTTTAAGTGCTCTGTTTGCCTTTTCCTTTTCTTCCTTTACTTTTGCAATATCTTTTTCATAGTGACGAATCCCACTCAAGTGTGAGACTAACAATCTTGTGGTAATAGTGACCTAGATAGAATAGGACAACAGGAGCTCTCTTTGTTAAAAATAAAATGCATATTGATTCACCAGAAAGTAAAACCCAACATGAGGACAGAGATGGAAGACCTTTTAAACTCCATGTACCGAAAGGAGTTAAACTACATCAATAAATGCACATTACACACTCTAAAATTGAAGATCCACACTTCCAACACTGCTTTTTGAAGCATCAAACATCAGCACTTGTCTGAACGGCTTCTGGCACGTTACAGGACAAGGGCACAAAACAGCTGTACATACACACCTGTGCAATGGCAGGAACAAAACAACCACGTACCTTTTCACCTTCGTAGACTTTTTCTGGAAATTCAGGGACGTATTTCTGCACTGGAGCATCTAAGTCCAGCTTCCCCTCTTCCCACAGTTTGGCAACAGCCATCATGGTGAGACACTTGCTGATACTGGCAATTCTCATGATGGTCTCTGGCTTACACATCACACGATTCTCTACGTCGGCGTAACCCAAACCTGTAAAGAAGCAAAAACACAGTGGGAGATATTTCACACAGAGACATGCTGAACTTTTTGCAAATTGCTGGATTTATTGGTTCCCCAAAACGTTTTCCTTCTAGCTGAATTGAGACATGAAGCAGTGGATTGAGTTTCTGTTTCACTTAAGCGAATAACACTTTAATTTAGTAGGACAGGTTAATTAAGCCCCCTGGTATTATCCAACATCAACCCAAATTAATGATTAAGAACACAAGAAAACCCTTTAATTAAGATTGAAGATTAAACCAAAACTTACGTTCCTACGGTCAAATATTCACTGTAAAAAACAAAATTGAATCTAGATCGTAAAATAACTGTCCAATGGTCCTCAATGCTCTATTATTACTCTAAATTAATGTTTAAAATACTGAAGGGTCATATTTTACCAGTACAGAAGTTAAGAAAGGACATTACCCAACTCATAACAATCACCTACATTGTAAAGCTTCACCAGACAGTTCTGTTACAGTTTCATGATCTCCTGGCATGACTTTAATTAAAGGAAAGTGTAAGAATCTCAGCACCAGTGCATTCCTATGTAAAAACACATCAGTCTGGAAACTGGAATTAAGGCAGTATTACCAGACACTCCAAACAGCCTTCAATTTGAGATGGGTTTGAAGAAGCTGAAGGTGATGCTTCAGCATTAATGCTATAAAGAGCAGCAGTTTTCAGTACGAGCACTTCTGTGACACCTGAAAGCAGTCAGGCTATGCAACACTGTACTGTAATAGTAAATGACTCAGAAACAAAACTCAGCAAAGAACAAGAAGTAAATGACAACAGGTGCCCAAGACCATTTCTTTTTTAATTGTACACAGAGTTATACTCTGGTGTTTTCATCGCACATCTGAACACAGATGCTGTACTCCTAAGGAAAACACCTGTCAAATCTCAAACTGCTCTCATCATTTCAGCAAGAAAGCAGAAGGAGGGAGGAGGAAACACTTCTCACATCCCTGCTGCCTTACTCAAGGCAGTGCTGACCTCGGTATCCATGCATGGCACCACACGGAAAGCTCTAGCAGGGCTGATGCTCCCACTTGTGACCATCCTGCTATGAGGTCTGGCAGCCAGGGTGACAAACCACCACCCAGACACAGGTTCCCACATGCACCTCCCTGCAGGTCAAGGGACTCTGCACAAATCTTACACAGACCTCTGCTTTCCTCGTTAGATATGCTGAGACCAGGTAAAACTGTCAGATTTTGACACTGAGTCAAAAGATTCTGCTACTCAGTTCTGCCAAGATGGAAGAGAAACAGCTTCGTGCATCCATAACGATTAATGCATTCCAACACCGCCACAATAAACCGCACGGGAGCTGCCTCCGCGGATTCCCGGGAGGCAAAGGGGGTTGGCCTGGAAGCACCGCGCTGCTCCCCAGCGCTGCCTGCAGCCGCGTCCCGAGGCACAAACCGGCACGACGCCCGCACCGACCTTCGGACCACACCTCCCTTCCATCCACAGAAACTCCGACCAGGATACCCGGGATGCCCGCTTCGTCCTGAAAAATAAATTAGACAACACAAAGGAGAATCTTTACAGTCCGGCAACAGCTTTTCCCGAGCTCCGACGTGCAGAGCAGCGCTCCGAGGACACACAGCCCGGCAACCCTGAGAAACACCGGGACTACGCGGTGAAAGTACGCGCTTGTAATTCAACGCAGTCAGCGATCGGGAGCACAAGAAAAAAAAACAAAAAGCAGGCAGCTCGGCACCTTGACCCGCCGCAGCAGGTCCCGGCTCCTCTCGATGGCCGCTCCGAATCCCCGACGTGCCGCCGCCTCCTCCTTCTCCGGCCCGCCGCCCGCCTCGCTGCCCGCCGCCGCCTTCACGCCCAGCGCCAGTCCCAGCGTCAGCCCCCAGCCCCAGCGCCGCCCGCCGCCGCCGCTCTCCCCTCTCCGGGCCGCCGCCAGCCCGACCGCCGCCACTCGCCGCACGGCCCGCGCCAGCCCGGACATGGCCGCCCCGCCGCCCCGCCCGCCAGGCGGCTCCAAGCCGCTGCCGAGCGCTCGAACCGAGCCCCGAACGCGTCGAGCGGGAATGGCGGCCCGGGGCTGGGACACGCGGCGCAGTTCCTTACGAGCGTTTCATTCCCCGGTGACAGTTTTAGAGTCTCGTTTCACAGAGTCACAGAATGGCCAGAGTTGGAAGGGACCTCAAGGATCACGAAGCTCCAACCCCCTGCCACATGCAGGGCCACCAACCTCCACGTTTAATACCAGACCAGGCTGCCCAGGGCCCCATCCAACCCGGCCTTGAACACCTCCAGGGTGGACGGGGCATCCACAGCCTCTCTGGGCAGCTGTTCCAGCACCTCACCCTTCTCTCTGTAAAGAACTTCCCCCTGACATCCAACCTAAATCTTACCTCCCTCGACTTCAAACGGTTTCCCCTTGTCCTGCAGCTATCAACCCTTTCAAAGAGTTGATTCCCCTCCTGTTTGTAGGCTCCCTTTAGGTACTGAAAGGCTGCAATGAAGTCACCCCATGGCCTTCTTTTCTCCAGGCTGAACAAGCCCAGCTCCCTCAGCGAGTCCTCATAGGGGAGGTGCTCCAGTCCCCTGATCATCTTTGTGGCTCTTCTCTGGACCCTCTCCAACAGCTCCCTGTCTTTCTTGTACTGGGCACTCCAGACCTGGACACAAGAGCAGAGTAGAGGGGGACGGGGACAATCACCTCCCTGTCCCAGTTTCAATTCCAGCCCTTTGTTCATCTGCACTTCCACATCGGAGTGCTCCTCGGCTGCCATCTGTCTCACAGCAGCAACACGTAACAGAACATTGGTGGGAAGGCTCAGCCTCTGCTGCTGTACCACCGACATCCGCCTCTGATGTTGTGGGCCAACAGAATAAAATAGGAGGCATTACTTTTGGAGCATAATTCTGTATCTTATCGTATCTGTATCCTGCTGTCAGTGGCCCCAATGCTGTGAGGCAGGGATGTGAGAACAAGGTGGGCAGTAGCTTTCACACTGTTGTGCAGGGCTGCAGCTCACCACTAATGCTACATGCTCATTCTGCTGTTGGTGGCCAGCAGAATCTGCAGGGTGCTTGTAAATCACGAGGATTCATTAATATTTCCTAAACCGCAGCTCCTTGGACAGAATAATCTAGAGGCACTCTGAAATCAACCTCACAAATTCTGTCAATCTTCCTCCATTGCTGCAAACACCCCTGCAATCTCAGCAGTGTCTATCAGACGTTATTACGGCTGCTCCTGCTGCCTTGTCCACACTTTGATCTCAGTCTTTTCTCTGTAACGATCTCATTTGCTTTTCAGTTCACTGTGCAAAAGCTCTGAGGTGACATGCTTCTCCATTCAACACTTCCACTTCAGTTGAAAAGGGGCAAGGTTTTTAACACAAAACCAGTTAAGTTTCAAATGATAGGAAACACGTGATGGTTGCTTGTACTCCTCTGACAGTGGGTGTGCTGCTTCTGAAATCATGAGAACAGTTCTGCCCTCCATCCTACTGAATAGCATGAGCCCAAGCAGAAGCTTGCAGGCTGAGTTGGAGGGAAGGGGCTCTCAGAACTTTGGGAAGCGGCAGTGAAAGGAGAGAAGTTTAACATTCTCCTTTGTTCTCTTCCTTTGGATTGATTTTGAACCAATTACACGCTCCATTAATCCCTGGGTTTGTAAGTTTTGTAAATATTTTTTAAAACTAACTTCTAGAACGAAAAATGTTGGATGTAATGAAAAATAACAGGAAAAAGCTGAAACTATCAGAAGTAATTTCTCTGTCAGATAAAATGAAGAAAAATAGGAAAGCAACAATTAAAAACGTCATTATCTATATATACAAGGACACAAGGGAAACTGATGCTGAAGAATACAGAGCAAAGGGCTGATGGCTCCCTTGGTCACACTTGCTATTTCTGTTCTCAGTAAAAACAAATTATTTCTGAATTTGAGAGCATGACAAACACGAGGAATATTGGGTACAGACAGAAATCAAGCTCTGATGTCTTTTTTTTCAGAAGCCTTTTCATTTACTTGAGAACCAAGAGATAGGATTCTCTCCCTCTGGTCCGCTGCGTTCACACAGCAGGTGGCAGTAAGAAACTTCATCATTTTAACCAGTCAGCAAACAGAATCCACTGCAGTTGGATCTCTGTTGTCACAGTGTTACTGAACCGAGCTGTGACCACAGCCTCCTCGGCCTGATCGGTTAACCGCTCACTTGTGGTCACTACAGCAGTTCTCAGGATATTTGTTTATCAAATAAGATAACATCAGATTATAGCACACACATTGTTACATCAGCAGGGCTAGGGCTGTTACACCCAGCCAAAAAAAGACATTGCTTTTCCAAAATGTATGTAAATGTGTTACTTACAGTTCTATTAAGTTAATGTTTAAGTCCTCCCCGATTCTTTTGTTGCTGGTAGTGGTTCTTTTTTAATTTTTGTTTTCTCTAACTAAGCTTGTAAGTAGGTGAATGAATTCTCCAACAAGTTAGCCCACAAACATCAATCAGGAACCAATCTGGAAACATGCAAGATGTCTGCAGCAGGAGAAAAAGTTGCATTAAAAACACTGGATTTTCAGACACGTGTTTATCTTCAGCTCCACTTGAGCTGTGATTCAGGTATTTGTTAATCCCAGCTTCTTGAGGAATTCAGTTAAGCACTGCTCAGCAGCACTGCTCCTGCTGTGCCATACCTAAGTCCCCATCACAAAGCAGAGGAGTGGTAGTGGATCCCAAGCCCAGCAGGGAGCCAGGAGGGGCCTGGTGCTGCTTTCGCACAGCATCTCATCCCTGGATGCATGCAGCACAACAGGACAGTCAGCATTTGTCTGTCTTACACACATCGTATGAAAAATGCAGCTCTCCCTAACTTGATTAATTTTCCCGTGAGCTGAGGATGGTCACCTGGGAAACAGTTAATTTCTGTAAGACAGAAAGTGAAAGCTTTATAGTGCCACGTCGCTACTTCCTTTGTTTTACGAAAATTCCATCAGTCTGACAGAGTTCCTAGAAACAACAGGATGGGAGCCTGGGAAACATTTTGTGCATCGTGGAAAGGAATGCTGAACAGACCATGCTGGAGCCAACAGACCCTCCAGAGGGCACACACACTGCTTTTTCTTCTTTGCAGAAACATCAGTTTTGAAATGCTGGCTTCTCAGGGGTGATTTCCTCATACGTGTAATTCAGGGCCTGCTTGAGCCTCTTGGGACTCAAAGGAAAAATAATTGTCACCAGCTGAAAATCGGTAACTAAGGAACGTTTGGGAAAAACATCAGTGTAAAAAAAGAACAACAAAAAATAAACACCACAGCTAAACCACCACCAACTAAAAGGAACAAAACCCACAAGAAACCACACAGAATTACTTCCTGTTTTTCTTAAGTTCTTCTCCAGAGAGAACTAAACAATTGCATCCCTGAGAATGGCTCCATATTCACCACTAAAATTCAGTTGCTGTGCATAAAATGTAACCCTCTACAGCTTCTCTCCCTGCTCTGTGGGGGGAGGTACCATACAGCACGGGAAAAGCCATCTTGTGTAACCACCGAGCACCGACAGCATCACTGCCTCCCCTTACTCTTCCTGGTGTATCTTTTCAAACCAGAGCAGGCTGCTACAAAACAAAGTAACAGTACAGAGGGGATGAAAAACACACAAAAGATTGAGCACGTTAACCATAAGGCATCATTCTGATCTCGTATGTCCAAAGCTGCAATTATAATGTACATGCCCTTCAGACAACTTTTTGGCTCCTTGAGAGGAGCTCCTCACACATGAGTGATAAGCACCTTTCTCTACTCCTCTCCCCAGAACACAAATCTCAATAAAATGAACAAGCCCCAGACATCTGAGCAGCAAAAGTGGCGGTGAGAACCAAGACTGGCTGATGTACAGGAGACAGATGGACCCTTCTGCCATGCTTGTGTGCCACAGCTGAGCAGCACCTCTGCAGTGTATTATGCCTACCTACAAGTGAGAGCAGCAACAGGCATATTTGCATTGACAGAAAGAGCAGCAGGAGGAAAACACATGTTCCCAGATCTAACGTAATGAATTGTGAAGAACAGGGTCCTTACTTGCAATTACTATCTTGATCTGTTCTTCTGGATGAAAGACCAGATCAGATCTCTCTCAGCATCTGATATTCTGGCAATTTTTCCAAGCCCTCTCTGAAGCTCCAGCATTTTTTTTGTTTGTTTTTTTTTGTCTGATATCTACTGCCATGAGCAAATGAGGTATAATGCTGGTTGCTAGCCCTTGCTCCACACCTTTGCTGTTCTGACCATCCACTTTAGTGTGGTTTCACTTACCTGTGCTGCAATTACAACTTTATTCTGCTCTGCAGATATCTCTGGGACCACTAAAAACACTCTTTGTGAGAACTGTGCACAGATAACTCAAATTGCACAGGCTGGTCAAAAACAGGAAAAAGCCTCTTATCAAACTAGTAACATCTCAGATATTTGGGTGGAGGCATTTGGCACTGGGCTCACATATTCCTACGGGAGCGTGTCCGTGCACACCATACAGACTCCATTCCTGTGTTTCATATCCTTGTTCCCAAGTTGAGGCATGTTTCAGAAGAGCCTCTCTGTAGAGGTGTAAGTGTACAATTACTGGATGCTACACAGATCAGGCGGAGGGGATTTTACTCTGCCCTTTCTTTACATGGAAGATCACAGTAAATCACATTAAACCAATTTACACAGCCTCGTCCTGCATTTTGCACTGCAAAAACTAAAGTAGGCACTTTGTACCTTTGCAGGCACTATGAAAAATAGCTAAGAGCATTTTAGAAACTTCACTGCTGGGGGAACAGAACTATCTGAGATGACAGATTTCTGAGTTTTTCCCTCCTGCCACTTGGAACAACCAATCATCTGCTTGAGCTGGAAACATTATTTCTTTGACCTTGAACCAAACCAGAACATGTCATCAGCACAGAATAGTTTCATTGGTTACCATGTACATGCACCTTCTGATGTATAATAGTGGATGT